CCAAAGGACTTGCATTTTCTGTCTCTGCCATGTGCCTATGTGTAAACATAGGAGGTGGACTACCCAGGTGATCTCTACCTGGTTATTTTTTTCAGCCATGGCGATGTCCAGTAGGGAAGGCAACAGAAATGTCATATACATGTATATGTATGTATGTCTCCATACCTATTCACATATATATGTGTGTATCTCCATACCTATTCAAAGATGTCTGAAATGAATGAGTATTCTCTAACAGTGAAGCTGTAGGTGTTGAGTTCTTGGAGTATGATTGCTGGACACTACATCACTTTCTTTATCAGGAGAGTACAATGACATTCATACCTGGAAGTCAGGTAGGTGAGATCAGTAAGGGGGGAGGTGTCGGCTGGGATTGGGAGTCTCCAGTCAGGTGTCATGCTCCTACACCTATCAAGGGGGACTGGAATCTGGCATTTGTCTTTCCATAGAGCTTTTATGTCTGTGCTTCTTTTAAAGCATCAGTCCTTGATTTTGTTATTTGATTTCAATCTTGTTTTATAATACAAGGAATACATGCTTTTGTAGAAAACTTGGAAAATGCATATATGAGAGTTTTCTGCTTGTTGGGATATGAGCTCTTTATTCCTGATCATGGTTTTGCTCCTGCTCTTGAACTTTATCTGTGTTATCACATCATAAACTCAAATGCCACAGGGCACAGACATTTATCTCTTTCTCAGGTAAGGAGACCAAGGCTCAGAGGGTTTCTTATTTGCCTAAATTAATACTTCTGAGTCTAAGTCCTGCAGTCATTTGGCAGTGCAATTCCATTCTGTGGATTTTCCTGACAAAATTAGTTGTACGAAGACACAAGGAAATTCAGAGAACTGTTTGTATTATTAAAAAACTGGAACCAATTAAATAACGCTACTCAATTAGATGATGATAAAGAATCCATATTAATGGATTCTACATGTATCTATGTTCATCAGAGATATTGGTCTGTAGTTTTCTATTTTTGTTGTGTTTTTGTCTTGTTTTGGTATCAGGGTGATGCTGGCCTTTAGAATGAGTTTGAGAGAATGGCCTCAGTTTCAATTATTTGGAACAATTTGAATAGAATTGATATTAATTCCTCTTTGATGGTCTAGTAGAATTCAGCAGTAAAACCATCTGGTCCTGGGCTTTTCTTTGTTGGGAGACTGCTGATTACTGCTTCACCCTCATTGCTTGTTAGTGGTTTGTTCAGGTTTTCTGTTTCTCCTTGGTTTGGTCTTGGTAGACTATAGGTGTCCAAAAATTTATCCATTTCCTCCAGATTTTCAAATTTGTTGGTGTAGAATTGTTTATAATAGTCTGTAATGATTCTTTGTATTTCTGTGGTATAGGCTGTAATGTCTCCCTTTTCACTTCTGATTTTGGTTATTTGGGTCTTCTCTCTTCTTTTTCTAGTTAGCCTAGCTAATGGTTTGTCTATTTTATTTTTCTCAAAAAACCAACTTCTGTTTTATTGATCTTTTTAAAAATTTTTATTTATTTATTTATTTTTTATTTATTTCAAATATTCATGAAATACAAAGCTGGTTATCCCCCCTTCTGCCCATGACGTGGGGGCCAGATTCATATTGGGGACATATCCATTACCAGAAATTGCTTTTGTACCCTTTGTCCTCTTCTAATTATCCCCCAGCCTCCCTACTCCTCCCCCTATCCCCTCAACTTCAAGAGAAATAAAAAGGGAAATAATGATCAAAGGATATTTAAACCACCTAAATAGCAATTAAATGACAGGAATTAAACAACACTTCTCAATAACTACTCTAAATGTGAATGGACTAAACTCCCCATTCAAAAGACACAGATTAACTGACTGGATTAAAAAGCTAGACCCAAGTATATGCTGTCTTCAAGAGACCCACCTCACCTGTAAAGACACACATAGACTAAAAGTGAAGGGATAGAAAATGATATACCATACAAATGGAAACCAAAAATGAGCAGGAGTAGCTATTCTTATATCGGACAAAATAGACTTTAAACTAAAAACCATTAAAACAGACAAAGAAGGCCATTATATAATGATAAAGGGAACTATCCAGCTAGAAGACATAACAGTCATAAACAGGTATGCACCCAATACTGGAGCACCCAGATATATCAAGCAAACACTCTCAGACCTGAAGAAGGAGATAGGTCCTAATACATTAATAGTAGGTGATTTATTGATCTTTTGTATCATTTTCTGGGTCTCTATTTCATTTAGTTCTGCTCTGATCTTAATTATTTTTTTCCACCTACTATTTTGGGGATTGAATTGTTCTTATTTTTCTAGTTCTTTGAGTTGTAGTGTTAGGTTGTTTATTTGAAACTTTTCTATTCTTATGATGAAGGATTGACTGCAATTACCTTCCCTCTTAGTACTGCTTGTGCCGTATTCCAAACATTTTGGTATGATGTGTCTTTATGTTCTTCTCTTTCAGAACTATTTAAATCATGGATGAACAAAGTAAGTAAAGTGTTTACATTTATCCCTATAATATTAAATTTGTCATTAGCTTATTATTTGTCATAATGTTTCATTCTGTTTCAAAAATATATATATTTATATTGTGTTTATGCTCCAGGATCTAATGTCTAGTTCAGTATTTTGACTATTGAAAAGATGTACAGAAATATCCAGTGACACTATTTTTTTTATTAAAAATAAGAAATCCTTAGAGAAACTATAGAAATTTTAGGCTTATTGGGAAATATGTTATGTAATGTGTACTGTATTCCATCCAGAACAGTTTTATCTTTTCTCTGTGCATTTTATATACATAAATATTATTGAAGTAATACTAATTAACAGATAATGAATTTAATGTCAGTTTATTGAAATAAAATCCTTAGATACACACCCTGATGTATATTTCACAACATACACATGTGTATAGGTTTAAATAATACCAATCATTATGTTCTGGCTTTTGCTTTTTTTTACTCAAGAAAATTCTAAGTAAGATGAATATTTATCAAGCATATAATGAAAAACTTTGTCTTATGAAATGTTAAGTTTCTGAAGAGAAAAACACTACATATCAGGGAAAATATCAAAAATCAAATCCTATTTTTCTGAAATGGTCTTTATTTTCTCTTTTATTTTTGTTGAGATAAAAACAACAACAAAAATTATCCCTCACTACCATGTCAGCCTTCTAGATATATTAGATAATTTTCAGGACCAGGCCTCTTGCTTTCCTCATTTGAAGTTTTATGATCTTTTCTTAATGACTGCTATATTGATTTAATTTTATTTATAAATCTCAATTAAAGCTTTTTAAATGTAAATTTGTATAAAATTAGGCAGTTTTATTTGCTACAACCTTTAAGATGCTTTAACTCAATTTAGAAATAGCCATTTGGGTATGGTTATTAGTCACCTTTTAACTCTTTAGTTTTGTATATATAATTGTATGTGTCTATGTATATAGTTGCATACTTATTAGGCATATTTAAAAAATTAGGAATTCAGCCCCAGTAACTCAGAGGCTGTCTTATTTTATTTAACAGGGAATTTGTTTGAGACAGGATTATACCACAAGTTAGCTCTGATAACAGGTACAGCTTATGTTGAGTGAAGAATATAGTTTACCTATTTCACTGCAGTATAAAACCACACAAGTGAAAATTATCTAAGGACAATGTATTTTAAAAAAATATTTATTTTATTGAAGCAGACATGTATTTACCTCTCCTTGAATTGCAGACATGCAAGTGAATGCTTCTCACTCAGGAAAAGTTTTGCCAGCTGGGCATCCCCCTTAAGTATCCATCGGCTGCATTTCAAGGTAAAATATTTGATTAAAGGAGAAAAATTAAAATAAACCAATTGATAGTGCTGAGAGAGTGAAAGAGAGAGAGAAAGGGAATGTGTGTCTTTTTTGTAGTTCTTTTTTACATTAATGAAATGTTGGTAGCTTAGCTGTTCTTGGTTTTTTTTTTTTAAATTTAACTACATATTTTCCGTGAAAGTAATTTTTATTTATAGAGGAAAGTAAAGGCATAAAGGAGAGCAAATAAAAACAGTTGTGAGTTCACATTTAGCAAATGAAATACAAGGCTGCACATCTATTAAGCCCCCAAATACAGATGTTAGGTAAAATATTTTATTGATCCTCCATCTGTTCTGAAAATTGTGACCGTGTAATCACAGGAGATTTATCGCGGGGTGTTTGTGAGTCACATTGTTACCTGGCACAAGTCTGGCTGCCTTCCCCCTTTCAAAAACAAGCCACTCAAAAGTCAAATGTTGATGAGAATGGAAGTCCACTTTTATTCAGAAATGCTGGTGACCTGAGGTAAAGCATCTCTCGGGTACACCTGAAGGAGGACGGCCAGACTAAAGCCATCTCACAGTCTCAGGTTTACTGAGGAGTTTTTAAAGAGAGGGTTGAGGGAATGGATCATGGGAAATGAAAAGCAAGAGGGAGGACATGAGCCACAGGGGTTCTGTGCAAGGAGCCAGGTGCAGGGTCTCCCCAAGGTCCCATCTGGTTTCTGCTCCCATCCTGCTGTTGTCTCAGGTCCTTCTGGAGGGATGGAATCTGCATAGCTTTATTGATGTCTTCCTTGGTTGCCCAAAGTCTGGATAGTATGTGCAAACCTGCAGCTCCAGGCTGGCTGGAAAACAACTTTACATCATGTAAATAATGTCATCTTTCCCTACAACCAAGGTCAAAATATCAAATAACCATGGGAGAAAAGGGAACTCAGAGAAATGCATGCCAAGAAAACACCTGTGTCCTTTTGAAATCTTTTAGAGCCCACGTAGTTTTAGGTCCCAACATGGCTTCAGTCCTGCTCACTTTGTTTGTAACATATGTGACAGCTTTATTTTTATATACGTGTTGATTCATGCCTTGCATTTCTAAGAGAAGTAATTGAGTCATATCACTACATAGTAGAGAGTACTTTTTTCTTTTGAACCAATGCATAAAAGAATCTAGAGATTTTGATTTAGACAATGAAGTTTATCAAAATTACTAGAACTTTACAAATGGCAAAGTCCATGTTAACATGTGCCCAGATTTCCAAGTAGGCAGGCTACCCACATCTTGAAAGAGCATCCTGGGTATTTAGGATCAAAGAGAAAGTGGTTTGTCAGAAGGGTGTAACCATTTTGTTTTCTTCTCCAAGCAAACTAAACTGCTTGGGAGCTAAATGACCTGTTTAATTTTCTATCCAGAAACCTTCCAGCAGGTTCTGGATCTCATCCAGATGTTTGCAGTTAAAATATGAGCTAGATAAGCTCCAAGGACCTAAGGTGGTAGTTCTCAGCTAAATGACCTGTTTAATTTTCTATCCAGAAACCTTCCAGCAGGTTCTGGATCTCATCCAAATGTTTGCAGTTAAAATATGAGCTAGATAAGCTCCAAGGACCTAAGGTGGTAGTTCTCAACCATGGCTTCACCAGTATCACCCAGAAGCAATTAAAAATAGTAGTGCCAGGTCATGATCCCAGAAAAACTAAATCAGCACCTCTGGTAGTAGAACTCAGAGACTGGTAATTTTGTAATACTCCAGCTGATTCTACTGAGAAGCCAGGGTTGAGAACCTGTGCTCTATGTTCTTATAGGGTTGGTGTTTAGAGAATTATTAGCAAGTCTATAATATTCATCAAAGGTACTTAGAGAATGATTTAATCCACCCAATAGCTAATTAAAAGTAGGTGTCCATAATGAAATTCAGTTACAAACTTGAGAGTTTGCTAGAAAAATAGCTTGATTTTGTATCTCGAGTCCAGTTCTTAAGATCACAATGATGCTAACAATAAGGATAAATTAAGATTGAGAGTTTACTGTGCTTTGGGCATTGTTTCAAATGTGGAATTAATGTGGATTAACTCATTTATTCCTCAGAACACTCTTATAAGGTGAATACTATTAGTTAACTGAGACATAGAGAGTTTGGATCAGGCTTCAAGTTCTGCCATCTGTAATTATTGGTTGTATGGTTGTCTTAGACAAGTTGCAGTACCTCAAAGTCTGTTTTCTTATCTATAATTGGGGATGATATTTTTCTATTTAGGTTGCTTTGGAGATTAAATGAGAGTATAAAGGCTGGCCGGTTAGGTCAGTTGGTTACAGTACAGTGTTGATGACACCAAGGTCAAAGGTTCAGATCCCCGTACCAGCCAGCCACACAGACACACACACAGACACGCACACACACACACACAAATGAGTGAGAGCATATATAAAATGCTGAGCACAATTGTAAAGCTAGGGCTTACAGACACCTCGAGTCTGTTGCACAGATTGGGTTAGAAACCCTCCACATGCTGGTCTATGTGCTAGGTAAAAAAAAAAAAAAGGTTCTGGGAGCTGTAGGTATAGAAAAATGAATGGCTTTTATTCAGATCTAGGAGCAACTGTCCCAGTGGCTTCTCTGAGAGTTCTGAGCAGCACTGTGGACCAGAGCTGTTAGTCTTTTACACATAAGTCCACAACCCTGGACGCCTGGGTGCCCATACACAGCTTACATTAAGTAGTAACAGGGAACACCTGAGGATCTTTACAGCAAATGATTGGCAAGACTCTGAACATCCGAAGGGCCCTGACATTTTCCTATTTTTCCCAACAACAATGCTTTGCAAATAATAAATGACAAGTATTTGCTAATATATTGGTCATATGTTAAATCAGTTGGGCTTTATATAAATGGAAGTATTATGATGTTAATAATGTAACCAATTAACTCGTATCTCTATATCCCCACTGGCTTTCCCTGTGATCTGGCCTCTGTACTGAATCCAGTGATCATTAAAAATCTAAATCTATTCATGTCAGAGACAATGCTCAGCCCCGAGCTTATCGGCTTATCATTACTTTTAGGATGAAGGCCAAAACCAGGCCCAGGGAGCCTTTTCCCTGCTCCCATTTTAACTGCCTTATCTATTCATGTCAGAGACAATGCTCAGCCCCGAGCTTATCGGCTTATCATTACTTTTAGGACGAAGGCCAAAACCAGGCCCAGGGAGCCTTTTCCCTGCTCCCATTTTTAACTGCCTCGAACCATGGCTTCACCAGTATCACCCAGAAGCAATTAAAAATAGTAGTGCCAGGTCATGATCCCAGAAAAACTAAATCAGCACCTCTGGTAGTAGAACTCAGAGACTGGTAATTTTGTAATACTCCAGCTGATTCTACTGAGAAGCCAGGGTTGAGAACCTGTGCTCTATGTTCTTATAGGGTTGGTGTTTAGAGAATTATTAGCAAGTCTATAATATTCATCCAAGGTACTTAGAGAATGATTTAATCCACCCAATAGCTAATTAAAAGTAGGTGTCCATAATGAAATTCAGTTACAAACTTGAGAGTTTGCTAGAAAAATAGCTTGATTTTGTATCTCGAGTCCAGTTCTTAAGATCACAATGATGCTAACAATAAGGATAAATTAAGATTGAGAGTTTACTGTGCTTTGGGCATTGTTTCAAATGTGGAATTAATGTGGATTAACTCATTTATTCCTCAGAACACTCTTATAAGGTGAATACTATTAGTTAACTGAGACATAGAGAGTTTGGATCAGGCTTCAAGTTCTGCCATCTGTAATTATTGGTTGTATGGTTGTCTTAGACAAGTTGCAGTACCTCAAAGTCTGTTTTCTTATCTATAATTGGGGATGATATTTTTCTATTTAGGTTGCTTTGGAGATTAAATGAGAGTATAAAGGCTGGCCGGTTAGGTCAGTTGGTTACAGTACAGTGTTGATGACACCAAGGTCAAAGGTTCAGATCCCCGTACCAGCCAGCCACACAGACACACACACAGACACGCACACACACACACACAAATGAGTGAGAGCATATATAAAATGCTGAGCACAATTGTAAAGCTAGGGCTTACAGACACCTCGAGTCTGTTGCACAGATTGGGTTAGAAACCCTCCACATGCTGGTCTATGTGCTAGGTAAAAAAAAAAAAAAGGTTCTGGGAGCTGTAGGTATAGAAAAATGAATGGGTTTTATTCAGATCTAGAAGTAACTGTCCTAGTGGCTTCTCTGAGAGTTCTGAGAAACACTGTGGAGTAGAGCTGTTAGTCTTTTACACATAAGTCCACAACCCTGGACGCCTGGGTGCCCATACACAGCTTACATTAAGTAGTAACAGGGAACACCTGAGGATCTTTACAGCAAATGATTGGCAAGACTCTGAACATCCGAAGGGCCCTGACATTTTCCTATTTTTCCCAACAACAATGCTTTGCAAATAATAAATGACAAGTATTTGCTAATGTATTGATTATATGTTAAATCAGTTGGGCTTTATATAAATGGAAGTATTATGATGTTAATAATGTAACCAATTAACTCGTATCTCTATATCCCCACTGGCTTTCCCTGTGATCTGGCCTCTGTACTGAATCCAGTGATCATTAAAAATCTAAATCTATTCATGTCAGAGACAATGCTCAGCCCCGAGCTTATCGGCTTATCATTACTTTTAGGATGAAGGCCAAAACCAGGCCCAGGGAGCCTTTTCCCTGCTCCCATTTTAACTGCCTTGAGCCGCCTCTCTACTGTTCGGCCAGACTGGCCATTTTTCAGATTGTTAAAGGTCTGTGTTTGTTACGATCCCAGGACTTCTCTCTGCAATGCTCTTTACGTGCCCAGCCTGTCAACTTCTCTGCACCCGTCAGGTCTCAGTTGGAAGCTGGTCCTCCAGGGGGCTGCACCTGCTCCTTCCCTTCCCTCTCCACATGTCAGCAGCCACCTTTGGCCTATGGAGTCATAAATGCCTGGCTCCTTACTTCAAATCACTTGTCTCCAATTCTTATTAATCAACTAATCACACTTGTTTATTGCCCTCTAGATAGGGTGAGTATAAAGTTCTCTCCTGTTAAACAATGAGGCAAGGGTTGCATCTTTGTTTCTCATTGTAAATTCCAATGCTCAGCAGTTCTAAAAACTTTTTAAGACATACATGAGATCATGGAATGCAGCCCTTTGCTTCAGATCCTCCAGTGCCTGCCAGTCACACTTGGGATCAAATCCAAACCCCTCACTAAGGGCCTCCCTAGATGGACTGTCACTTGTCCTTTTGGGGTAGTTGTTCCCATTCTTCCTCTCTCTCATGATGTTTCTCACAAAAGGCCAAATCATTCCTGGAGTCAGGGGGTTTGCATTTGCTTTTCCTTCCTCCTGGAGCATTTCTCACCAGATCTTCAGATAAAGCTTTTTCCGTCTCATCTTTTAGATCTCAATATAAAGTGTATGTGTACTAATGTAACTGCTTGCACCCTGCCATCTCCTACACCCGTTTTCTCCATCGTGCCAGTCTAAAATCTTTTAAAATTTATTTTTTGTCTTTCAGAAATTGGCAATAAACTCCCTGAGAGCAGGTTGACTCACTGATAGCTGTACTCACATATGGTAGATAATCTATAAATATTTATTCATTATAAAAATAATAAATTATAAAAGCTTCATGTAAAAAGCATTACTATGAGGTTTAATCTGTTTTTCTTTGTCTTATTTTTTTAGGATGCATCAATTTTGTCATAAATTTCCCATTTAAAAGTATTTATAATTGTCCATTCTAAGTATTAAATTTTTCATGGCCTTTAATGCTAAAGTATTGTGGAACACAGTTCTTTGAAATTATATTCTATTCATATGGAATTGCTACTCTGTGGACTATACAAATAAACTTATGAAGCTTCATTGCAATCACACATTTACAGGTAATATAAAATATAGACTTATTAAATTTCTTCCTCTACTCTGCTTAGTAATTACTTAAAAGAATTTTGCTTTTTATAACTTTTTGCCTTCCTTGTTTTTCGAATTATGTATTGCAAAGTGCACAGGGTGGTTAAATTATGAAATTTAAAAATCTAACCTAAATATCAAAATAGTTTTTTTCTTTTTCATTTTTTTATGTAGAGGGACTTAGGATAGGAATACACGATGGATTAACTGTTAACAGGCAAACTGTTAACCCAGAAGTGTCTGGGACATGCTTTACTTTTACACCGAGTCTTCTCAGCATTGCCACTGTAATATTTTGGGATGGACAATTCTTTGTTTTCTGGGTTCTAGTCGTTCTGGGCATTTAGGATATTAAGCAGCATCCCTGGCCTCTGCCCACCAAATTCCAGCATCACCCTCCCCTCCAGTTGAGACAAATAGCTTCTAGACCTTGCCAAATATCCCTTGGGGAGGATGGGCAAAACCATCCCTAGTTCTTTCTATACATCTGAGATGTCATTTGTCGGAATTCCAGAATTATCATTTTCTTACAAGGTGCTTTGGTCCAAGAAGTTCTGGCTCAAAGCCTTTACTCTGTGCCTTCTACCTAGTGCCATCTCGCTTTTAATTGAAGACATGCCAAGTCTTTATGTGGGTGACTCTAGATCATAGATTTTCTTTCTCTTTTCCAACTGAGTTTTCAACAGTAAGGGTAAGGCTGTAGGCCAACTCTATTCACACCTACCACCCTCAAAATACAAGTGGGTAGGAACCCACTGGAAAATTTATGAAAGATAAAAATACCCTGTAAGCTTCTCAGATAAAGGATTTCTAAGCTGAGAGGTCAGTTTGTAGATACCCGGGGTAATCCTTAAATGGTTTACATTTCCATTTTTCTGTTTAATTACAAATTATTTCATTTCTTTCTATTTCAGGACCTCCAGGACTTACTGGCTACCCTGGACCCCAGCCTGGCTACCCTGGACCCCAGCCTGGCTATCCAGTTCTACCAGCCAGCTATTCAGGTGCTGGACCAGCCGGCTTTTTTGTCCAAAGTCAGCCACTATATAATCAGCCTGGTGGACCTGCAGGGGCACCATGGATGCCAGCACCACCACCTCCACTGAACTGTCTACCTGGATTGGAATATTTAAGTCAGGAATACAGTTCTCATAGAGGCAGAAACTCACGAGCATGGGTATGGATCTCTGAATCTAGTAAGAAGAAGCGCATTTTGAGGAGATAGGTAGGTATGAGTTCAGGGGACTGGACAGGTATCTGGGACTTGCAGAAAGGAGACGTGTTTCCATTTACTGTGAGAATCACAGCCTAGTTTCTTTAGGACTCGGTGTCTAATTTCATTTCAGCTGCTGCTTTGTTGATGTTGGGCTCATATCCATTTACAAGTCCAGTGGGATCTGGGGCTGTAGTGTGGTTTGAAACCATAAAACCATTACCCGTCCTTTGGAGAAACACTGAGCTGGGACTGTGGAAGGCAGAGTCAGATACAGACTCAGCAATTAGTGCACCAACAAAGGCATTTTCCTCGCACTGGGTCCCCGATGACCTCAGCTGGTAGAAAGAAGGATGAGCCAGTTTTTAGAGCCCACGTAACCCTCTTCTTTCCTCCACCTTATCAGTAATTACTAAAATGCACATGAAAGTGCATTGACATAGTTGGAGTTTTCATAAATATAAATAAATTAAATGGTTATGCCTAAGGATGCTGGGGCAAGCATGTGGGGAGGAAGAGAGAGAGTTGCTTGTGCTTGGTCAGACAGTGAGGGGACCCTCAGGCCTACTGAGTGAAAACCAGAGTACCAGACTGCGAGGGAGAGGAAAAACCCCACAGGGCCCTGCCCCAAAGTCAGGACCTCCATCTCTGGGGCTGGCTGGGATCGAGCTTTCCTGCTGGGGTGACCTGGCCAGTGTGCTGTGTTCTGCTGGGGCATAGATCTCTGCAGCCCTCAGGGCATCAGGGTGGAGCCCGGAAAGGGCAGGGTGGCCCAGGAGGCCAGCACTAGTGACCTGTGCTTGCCGGCAGCTCGGTAAGTTTACACCTGTGTGCTGGGAAGAAATGTTTTCTGTTTGTACCTTGAAGTAATAAGGTTGAAGGTGAAGGAGCCTGGGTGGTGCGAACATGAAACTTTTCAATATTGATTTCCAAGGGCGAAAGAGGACAGATGGATGTGCACAGCCCTTTGCCCTTTTCAGAGTGCTCTCATGTCATGATCTCATTTCCTTCTCGCAACAACTTAGTACAAGAGGCAGGGACATTACTATTCTCATTTTTACTATTACCATTAGCATTCCCATTTTACAGATGAGAACACTGGGACCCAGAGACATGGAGTGAGTTACGTAAGGTCACCCAGTGACCAGGTGGCTTTCTAACTCAAGAAATCCTGGCCTTTCTCCTCACCACACTGCTTTGTGGGGCCTGGACAGTCTTGGGACCCCTGCCCTTTACTGCTCCATCCCAACCCATTTCCAGTGCATCTTCTGTCACCAGACCTCTCACCGCTGAGTCTCCTCACTTCTGACCTTCCCCCCGTCCAATTCTTTCCGTGCACCCCTCTGCTGGGCAGGTCGTAAATACTCCCTTTACCTCATTACTCCTCTGCTCAGGTGCCTTCCCTGGCTCCGACGGGATACTGCCCAATGTCTAAGCCTGCCGGTTCAGGTTCCATGGTCTGACTTCATCCTGCCCATGAGAATCCCCTGCCCATCCAAATCTGAATGCCTGCCACCCTTCAAGTTTCAGCTGCAGCCTCACCTCCTGTGGGTGCCTTCCCTGGTGGGCCCAGCCCAGGCTGCTCTCTCTTCTCCAGTCTCCATCACCAGCACCACTGCACTGTACCTTGCACTGCTAGTCACCCCTTCCACATGCGAGTCTGCGGCGTCTGACTTGCAGGACCAGATTAGGACTGGAGAGAGCCCAGCTTGATCCCTGTCTTGCCTTGTGAGCTAGATCGTCCTACCCTCTTGCACGAAATGGGAGTGCGCTGAATCCAGATATCCCAGAAGCCCTTCCCCACTCCCATTTTCTGCAGTTATGGGCTCTGTCAGACAGCGGTGTAAATGACTGACACGGTTTAACATTGCCGTTCTCTAGGAATTTGCATTTCAGCAGGAACAATCTTTCAGACAAAGGAAAGAAGCTCTGACATTTTGGGGTGCGGGAAGCTTCCTTGTACCCCTGAACATATCCTACAGGGGGCCATCTCCTCATGGCCAAAGGCCAATTCTGCTTTGTGGAGATTTTCCTGCTCCTCGCCTCCTCCTCCTGCACTTCCCCCTGCAACATTAAGGGATCCTCAGAGACCAGAGAAAATAGAAACGTATTTAAATTCCCCTGCACTTTGTCCTCCTGTGTCAGATGACTGACTCGTGCTTGCCTCATCTCCCCTGGCTCTAACTTAGGGCTCTAGCCCCGAAGGGCTGGGATAATGTCTTTGTTACAGCTCCATTTTCTCATCTGGAGCTCAGGTGCTGGGATTCTTGGTCAGTTCCACCACCTCCTGCCCACCCCGCTCCGGCACTGGGTTAGTCCCGCCAGCTTCTCAGGAGCCTGATTCTACCCAAGGTGGGGATGTTCAGCAGGAATAACCGATCCCAAAGTGGAGCTGGAAAGCAAGGTATCGGTCTGTGTTTGAGCCATATCATGGACTTGCATGGGACCAGGTTTGCCCAGACACGAAGTCCCGCATGGGTGCCTGCTGGAACCATGCACCTTGCTCAGTGCAGACCTGACTGCGGCGGCGGCCTTCCGGAGCACAGTTCTCAGGGTCTGGGTGGCTTATGGCAGCTCCTCTGTTTGTTCTGTGTTCTGAGTCAGGAAGATTCCAACATGTGCATCATCTCAAGTGAGTGGCCACCTTGAACTTCGCTCATGAAATGTGAACAGAGACCATGCGGCACATTAAACCACAACTCAGGCAAGGAACACAGGCTCTGGGCAAGTCGCTCAGTCTCTTCATCTGTAAAATGGCTTCACAGGAGTCTCTGCCTCACAGAGTGGTGGGGAAACTTAGTGAAATGCCACAATGTGAAGTTCTCAGAATGGCGCCGGGCACAGGATGAGTGTTCAATCAATATTAGTTCTTGCTGTAATAGAACTTAGAGCCATAGCAGATATTACTGGTTAGTATCGGATGGCCTGAGTATTTGCTACTGTGTAATTGTGATGGTCTCTGTCCAGGTTATCTCTGCACATTCTATCCCAGGGTCAGTCAGGGCTTCCTCTCTACAGTCATTCAGCCTTTCCACATGACACACCTCACTGTGACGCTCAGCAAAATGGAATTAGAAATTCATATTTGCTGCCCCCAAAAGTGCATTTTGAACCAAATGGAAATGATTTAGGGGGTTATCTGCTGTGTAAAATAAGCAGTTTCAGTTCCCAAAAATACGGCTGTAAGGGTGCATAAATTAGATCAGCACTGGTATTTAGGAGACGCTGTGGGATGATGGGTGTGCGACACAGCTGACTTCTAATGGCACCCCTCTGTTGGTCCTCAGCCCCAGCATGGAGGACAAGCATGGTGGGAGAACTGGTAGATCTGTCAGGAAGCTCAGACAGTGCAAGCTGCCAGGCCAGGGACCTTGCACGCTCCCGGAGCCTCCACTGAAATGTCACTTCCTCTGTGAGACCTTCTCAGTCAACCTCCTGTCAGAATGAATCACACCTTTCCATGTTCTCATACCATGTCTGTTCATACCGTGGGCCTTGCACAGACTGTCCCCCGGGCACCCTGAGGGCAGGATGGCCTGTGATTCACCCAAGTATCTGAGCATCCAGTCCCAGGCCTGGTGCAGGGGCCCTCGGTAAATGTTTGCTGATGAAGGCATGAATGGCCTTGGTGTGACTTACCACTTCTAGAACACTCGAACGAGGGATCTGAAGAACGCCTGGACCAAGCCCCTCCTTCTACAGTTCCAGGAAATAGTCCAGGGAGGGGAGTGACGGTCCCAAGATCACACATCTGGGGGCGGAGCTGGGACTAGAATGCAGGTCTCTTGACTCTGGGCCCAGGGATCTGCCCTCTACACCTGCTTTCCACCTTAGCCACTCCTCCACCTGTGAGCACTGAGCTTGGTTTGCACTCCATGGGAGGATGGATGAGAGACACCGCCTCCAGGGTAAGGGAAATGGCTGATCCTACCCTGTAAGGACACTGTTTCAGAGGGTAAGTGTCCCTACTCTTTTGCAACATCCCAGTGGAGAGAACAACTCTGCTCCCTCACTTCATATCCCTGGGTTTTGGACAGCCTGCCCTTTGACCCCAAGAGGCTGGGTATCATTTCTGGCAAGGCTCACTGTGCCTTGAGTTGACAGGGAATCCTGCCCCTCCTCCGTCTCCCAAACCAGTCTCAGCAGGACATCTGTGTCCCAGTGTTCTCTTCCCAGACACGTTATTGCTCATGCTCCAAATAAGCATTCTGCTGGTGTCTTCAGGGAGACCCAAGATTGCAAGAAGGCACAAAAGTCTGAATCTGAGACCTTTAGGGAAGATGAAGGCGTCTGTGCCAGCGCTGGACTCAACCCCACTCTCCCCTGGTCCCATTTCCCTGCCTCGGGGGCTGGCAGCACAGGGTACCCTGGGTTCTCCTGACTTCTTTCCCGACAGCTCCTTCTGCTTCTCTCCTCCCCTCAGTTCTGGTGCTGGGGGATTGTGACAGTGACTGAGTGACTCGCTGGTGACACATGCTTAGTCTCGCTCCCCACTCTCTGGTTCTCACTTCTCCTACTTGCCTGGAGGGGATATGATAGAGGCCAGGGGCCTGGGAGCTGGCCAGAATTTTCCAGTGAGCCTCTCATTCCCCAGCAGCCTTCCCCCTCTCCTTCTGCCCATCCCATCCCATCTGCCCCCACAATCCATCCCTCCTCCCCACCTGGATGTTTAGCTCCATGTTTCACACAGCAATGCAAAATCAGGTGAGGTATTGACCCCGATTTGCAGATGAACTAACTGAGTCTCAGGGAAGTGTCCTGTGAAATGCATGAATGCGGGGCTCAGATCAGACCGTGCTTGCGTCCTGGCTCTGCTCTTTCTAGCGGTGCACCCTCCTCAGCCAAGCTCTTTAACCTCTCTGAGCATCAGTTACATCATTTGTTAGGGACAAGGGTGCCTCACTTATGAGGTTTTGATAATAACTGAAGACATGCACCATGCCTGGCTCATGGCAGGTACTTGAGAAAGGGGACAGTTATTATAAACGATGTGTCTTGGAAAGAGGCTGAGTGGGGCAGGAACCTGTCTCCTTCCACATAGCTTCCAACGGTTTTCTTCCTTCTTCCTCATCTTTCTCAATTTCTAGCCCCATGCTGGGTTCTGCTGGTGATGGACGGGGCAGGATCTCCACTCCAAATGCCGTGCTGAAGAGATGAAATGCGAATCGTCCCCTGGTTACAGCTGCTCCGCAAGCCCTGGGCTACCAGGCAGCAGTGGCCGGTGGCGCCATCCAGAGTCCTCACTATTCCTCCCGAATGTGGGCTCCAGACAGTCGTGACAGAAGATGCTCATCTGATGTCACTACGGCAGTTATTAGAGAACTCCCCATTCCAGTGACATCAGCAGCACCAAAAATGAGAAAATGAAGGCAGTGTTTTCCTGGCAGAGCTCATCTCAGGTGAAAAGATCAAAACCTCCGAGGGTACCGACTCTTTTAAAGTTTTGCTCTGGACATTGTGTGGGGCCCGCAACAACTCCTGCCTTCTGCACGGGCATTTCCTTCTAGGATGAGGGCCAAAGATAGCTAACACTAGACTTTGAATTACAGAAAGTTAGAACTTGAAAGGATCTTAGCCATAAATCAGTCACCCCCACCCCATCCCAGCTAATTTCAGAGTGAAGGGGCCGAGGCCTAGAGAAGGGAAGCAGTCTGGCCAAGGCCACAGAGCTGAGCCTTTGACCCGGCCCTCTGTCCTCGGGTTGTTCAGTTCCCTCCTACTCCCCTCGGCTGGTGGGATCAGATCTAGATTGGAGGCAGGAAGGAGCAGACAGCGGGTCGACAGTGGGCCCAGCTAGCAGTGAGGAGCTGGGAGAGAACAGGACAGGTTCAGAGAAACTCATGCCTCTTCCACGGTGGGTGTCTGAGGGTGGGAGAGCCTTCCGGACCCAGCCCTTCCATGAGCTGGGCAGTGCAATGATCCCTTATGATCAGGGGGCATTCCTGGGGCAGATCTCTCCCGGGGAAGAAACCATTTCTCCCTCCCAGGTTGATATTTCCCAGTGTTTTAGCAACGTGTAGCTGCGTCTGGTGCCTGAGGTTTTGAGGACAAAGATGGGATCTGGCTTTCCCTGCATAGTGCCAGCAGAGGCCAAGCTGACCTTTCTGGAGCACAGCGATGGTCATGGGGTGGGGCTGCCTAGTTTGCTGCCCACAGCAGCCTGCAGTCCCGTCTGATCCCTTTAGGAAAGACACAGCCAAGTCAGCTCTCCTCTGAACAAGGTCTTTGGGCTGGTGGCCACATCCTGTGGGGGCCAGAGGGAGGAGGTTCCCGGCTTTTGCCAGGGGTCACCCCTATTGCTGCTGCCCTCAGAGGACACCTTCTTAGGTTAAAACTTGTCACCACTGCCTTCACTCCTCTTGATAGCCGGAATAGTTGACGCTCTGGCAATGAAGCGGTGCTACAAATCTGACCACATTTAATTCTCAAAATTCCCCATGATGTGGCTACTATTATTTCTGTATTGTCGTTGAAGACATTGAGGGTGAGAAAAGGTTAGTGACCCGTGCAAGGTCAGTACTCACTGCTCCATCCCCAATACCTGCCAGAACTTGTTCCTCCCACACAAGCCCTTCCTGGGATCTGCAGTACATCCCTCTTCAGACCTATGTCCCTCCTGTCCACTAAGAAGGAGCACAAAGCCAGAATATTATCTGAGCTCTGGTTGTGGTCTGGGGATGGAGATTCAACAGCTGCTGTAGAAAAGACTCTGCTGGTCAGACTCTGCTGGGACTGTGCGGTGGGGTGTGTCCCGGGCAATGGCTAGGAAGGGGTCATAAACCACAAAGACACTCAAATGCAGACTGAGTATTAGATGATGACAAGGAAGTGTTGCTAATTTTGTAGGCGGTGATCCTAATCATGCAGTTAGGTGGGAAAGTAGACATATTTCTTTTAAAGATTCACACTGAGTTATGTAAGGGGCGAAATCACTGGAGGCCTGGGATTCACATTAAAACACTTTAGCACAAAGTCAGGGGAGAGATAAAGCCAGTGTGGACAAATCTTCATAGCAGTTGAATCTGGGTGATAGGGTGATGTGTATATGAGGTTCATTATTCTATACAATTTGAAATAATTTGTAATAATTATTTTTTAAATGGAAGCAAATGACCCCAGCTCAGCTAGTGTAGGAGAGAAAGTTTTAAGACCTAGAAGGAGGTAGCAGGGTGAAGGGGGTAATGTGGGGTTTTGGGGGAGAGGAGTTGGCTCCAGCACACTCATAACCCAATAGGCCTCAGGTCCCAAAGCTTGTGTCTGCATCTCAGTGTGGCCGTTCTCACTTAGCCATGGCATTCCATCATGAGCACCGGCCTCTGTAATGAGGAGTGATGTGTAATTGATGGAAGCAGAGTGTGATACAGTCACAGAAACCTCGTCTGCTAGAGGACATCTGTTCAGCACATAGAATCCTGTCACAGTGCATTTACTGGATTGTACCAGAGCCACAGGAATAACACGGAGAGGTAGGAAGCGGTGCTTCTGCTTTAGATACCCATGTGTGCAGTCTGTGCTCCCTGTACCTCCCTTGCCCTGTCTGCATTCCGTCAGAGTCCTCTTCATAAATAATCCCTGCTCTCTGACAGGCTTTTAATGCACTCAGGTGCCAGCATTTAAAGTCCCTCTTTCGGACTCTGCCGTCACAAATGCCTCGGGCAGCCCTGTGCATGGCATGTTCTGGAAAGAGGGAGGGGCCCTTACCATGGAGGTGGCTCCCATGGATTCCCTCTTTCCCGAGGATTCTCTGTCCCCTGGTGCACCTAGGCTCCTCACTGGGTACCACCCCCATATTTAAGGCTCCACATCAGATACCACTGGCTCTTAGGTCTTTGTGCTTGGTGTGCCAAGTGGGTTTCCTGCAAGTTCTGGACAAAGGGGAGGTAGGGCTGGGTAAAGGGGGCATCTTGAACTGGCAGGAAAGGACACAGCCTGGGGGTCAGGCCACAGGCCTTGGCCTGTATACCCTGGGCCAGGTCGGGCCATGGGCAACCTGACCTTAGTTGTTCGTCTCCACTGGATAGACAGATGGAGGATCCCAGGGCTAGGGTGGAAATCTGTGCTGATCGGGTAGGGCAGGGGTTCCTGGACACTAGCCTTTAGGGTCCCAGTTCTTCAGAGCTCTGTGCTCCTGGTTTTGCCATCTCACTCCTCTCTGCTGAGTCTGAGCCGTTGTCCCTCTCCTCCCTAACTCACAATGCACCTCCTCCTGGGAACCGGCTCAGTGAAGACAACCTCGCACGTGGCTGGAGCCCCTGCGGCCAGCCCTTCCACACCACCCCGTTCACTGTCTTCACTCGGCATCTTCAGCATCTGGATATCTGTGTCTGTGTGCGCGTGTGTATCCGGTGTTGCTGTTTCCCTGGAAGCCCCCCTGAGCACTGGCTCTGTGTCTTTTCTTCCTTTGGGATCTCCCATGGTGTCTGGCAGAGGGTTACAAAGACCTCTTAACCCTGGATATCAAACTGTGAAATCCTCTCACTGTGGAAGCCGGGGTAGTGCTAGGCTCACTGATGGTCAGTGGTCACTGCACTGAGCATTCATCACAGGCCGGGCAATGTCCTCAGTACCTTACACATATTCAATAACATAATCCCTCAAACAACCCCATAAGGCAGGTACTATTATTGGCCTCCTTTTTCAGATGGGGAAGCTGAGGCATACAGAGGTTGATTACCTGCCTCCAGGCCACACAACTAATACTGGTAGAAGCAGGCTTTGGACCCGGGCAGCCTGGTTTCAGAGTCCATGCTCCTAGCTTCCACTGCGACGTCAGGCAGCTCTGGGAGCAAGCCCCGGCACTGACCACTGATGGCAGGTGCATCACTTCCTCCAGGCTCAGTCTTCTCTTCATAGATGAAGCTAATGACACCTCAGAGAGGGCCTGTGAGGATTAAATGAAATGAGGCCTCCAAGTGTCTGGCACAGTACCTGGCACTTACGAGGCACTTACCAAGAGGCTGCCCCTGTCCACGGAGGGGAGGGGACTAGGAGGGGTAGGGCCCAGCTCCTGCCTCTGTGTTCATGCATCCTGCCCTCTGCAGTGTCTGACCACATTGCTCCACACAGCGAGGTGCTCAGGGGTCAGCCAACTCTAACTCAGAGAGGAGGAAAATGGATGACTTCTGCCCTTCAGTAGTCTCTGCTTTTCTGCTCCCCCCAACCTGTCCCACCCTCTTGCTCCTCGTCCCCCAAAAAGCAAATTCCTGGCACAGCAAGGAAGCCGCCTCTGCAGTGCCTCACAGGGCCTGGGACACTCAGCTGACACCTCGGGGCTGTGGTGTGGCCTCCTTAACTAGAGTCTGACAAACGAAACATGAGAACGAAAACTGCTCCCATGCCACCTGCCCAAGAAAGATGACAGGTGGCTTGACTGCCACCCAGGGCCCTCTTACAGGCTTCTTAAAACCCCAGTCCCATTTATCAGAAAAGACCATGGGCTGGCCAGGGTCCAGGGCTCTTGTAGGAGCAAAGGGATGGGGCCTCCTATTTCTGCCCATTGCAGGTATGTGGGGGTCCCATTTTCCTTGGACTATTCTATTGAACTTGCAGCATTTTTTTTTTTTTTTGTCTTTTTCGTGACCAGTAAGGGGATCGACACCCTTGGTGTGGTGTCCCCCACACCGCGCTCAGCCAGTGAGCGCACCGGCCATCCCTATATAGGATCTGAACCCGCGGCCGGAGCGACGTTGCGCTCCCAGCGCAGCACTCTCCCAAGTGCGCCACGGGGTCAGCCCGAACTTGCAGCATTTCTAAGTGGTCTTTTAAAAAGGGAGCCAGGTGTCACCAGCATCATTAGCTAGGGAAGTAAAACATCAACCTTCCTTAGTCTTGCCAAAGGGCAGAAAATGGAGCAAGGGGCACTCAGATAACCCTCAAGGGTTGTTGAGAAGGATGCACAGCTATTGGGTCCCTGTTTGTGACTCCATTTCAGAAATCCCATCCTACAGTAAATCTCCAGTATTTCTCAATAGGGGAAATATTGGCATTTGGGGTAAGCATATGTCTTTGTGGGTCTATTCCAGGCAAAGAAGGGCATTTAGTATCCTTAGTTTTTGTGAACTAAATGCCAGTAGATCCCTCCGTCTTTGGGGACAACCAAATATACTCCCCTGCCCCATTTCCAAATACCCAGGAGGGGATGATAATGACCTAGCTGAGAAGCAATTTGGACTTGCTGATGATCTTAGAAATGCACACACACCTGCATAGGTCACCTGTCCCGAGACTCCAGGAAGAGTCCTGTCTTCCCTCTGGGCGTCAGCTTCTTCTGCAAAGTAGTGAGCCAGCTCAGCATTGATGTCTGTGGTCTAAGTGTCCCGAGAAGCTGGGTTGGACCACTCCATCTGAAACCACACAGATCTGCAGCAGCCCCTGTTCCTTCTCTGAACTCCATTTATTT